TAAAGTGCCTTCCCTTTCTTGAGGGCACCCCCTGCCCCCAGCCTTGCCTCCCGTCTGCTTTCTGGATCTGTGCATGTGCTCTTCTGGCTGGTGCTCAGAATCCCCTGGAGTCTGAGAGTCAGTCCTTCCCTCGTCTGCGCTTCAGTGCTCTCTGTGAAGGGGGAGGGACTGGAGGGAGCCCTTCGGGCAGCCACCCCTCACTGCCTCCACAGACCCCCTGGACCGGCCCTTGGCTGGCCAGGACACCTTTTTCCTGGAGCAGACCAAGAAGAAAGGAGTGAAGGTGAGTCCATGGCCGCAGGGCGTCCTGGGTGACTGGTCGGAGGAGGGCTGGGGTGACAGGAGCTGCCCTGCACCCCGGTCTCTGCCTGTGGCCAGGCCCGTGCGTGCAGGAATCCGGGGCCCCTGGACCTGAGGGGAGAGCAGGCGGGTGGGCAGCAGGAGGGGCTCCGGGGCCGTGAGTGAAGGTCGCTGGAAAGAGGCCTGTCCTGCCCGGTTCACCTGGGGAGGCAGCTGTACCTAGATGGGGCAGGGAACTGGGGGGGACACTGGGCTGGGCTTGTGCGGGGGGCTGGGGGGGAGGCCGGTCTGGTGGGAGGGAGCACCACCTGGGTTCAGAGTTTTATTTCGAGTGGTTCTGTGCAGGAGAGGGGGGGCCAGATGCGGGCCTGGAGGCGGACACTGCCCTTGGGCGGGGGGGGGGGGGGGGGCTGCTACCCCCGGGCTTCTGGACACCGACGGCCTTTGCATTCAGATTCCGTCCGGGTGGACCCGGGTTCTTGCAGTTTTTTTCCCTTTTTTTTTTTTAATGTTTGTTTCTGAGAGAGAGTGGGAGGGAGGGGCGAATCCCAAGCAGGCTCCGTGCTGTCAGAGCAGAGCGCGCTGCGGGGCTCGAACCCACAAACCGGAATCAGGACCTGAACCCAAACCAAGAGTCGGACATTTAACTGACCGCACCACCCAGGTGCCACCTCCTGCATTTGTCACAGGCCCTGCAGGGCCCGGGGCTACCCTAGGGGTCTTCGTCAGCCCTGTGTCACCTGCGCCCTGCTCTCAGTGACAGAGGCAGCCTCGTGCCCTCGTCCGCAACTGCGGCTCCCACGGGGGTCACCGGGACTCTCAGGGAGGGCAGGCCGCGCCCCTGCCTGCGGGGGGCTCACCCGGCCTGAGGACAGGGCTCCCAGGCCTCATCCTGCCTTGTCCTCCAGCGGCCGCCGCGTCTGCACGTCAAGCCCTCCCAGGTCCCTGCCGTGGAGGTGACGCCCGCCGGGGCCTCCTACAACCCGTCCTTTGAGGACCACCAGGTACGCGGCTCTGGGCAGCGCATGCGTGCACACACGCGTGTGCACATACACACCTGGGCACCTGACCGTGGTTGGTTCCCTCCTGGGGCTCGTGGTCCAGTGGGGGGCTTGGGAGTTGGGGGGTCAGGGAAGGCTTCCCAGAGGAGGGGACGTCAGAGCTTTGACCAAAGGTCTGAGGAAGAGTTGTCATGGGAAGAAGGGAATGGGCGTTTCAGGCGTGTGCGAGGAACACCACGTACGAAGGCCTGGAGGTACACGAGACCAGGCCACCTTTCGGGGCAAGGGGGTGCATGAGACGTGGGTGCGGAAAGCCTCGGTGAACACTCAGCAGTACGACTTAAGGCCCAGGGTAGTTGAGTGATGTGGACGCTTGGCCGGGGGAGCCTTGTTTGTGTCGCGGGGTCCGTGAACTCTGGGGTCGTGAATGGAGGACGAGCCGCCTCCGGGAGGGCATGGGCTCCCAGAGAGACTCAGAGACGGAGAAGGCGCAGGACGCTGGGGCGGGTGCTGCTCAGCCTCGTTCATGGTAGGAGCGTGTCTCGCGGCCCCCCAGGAACGAGGGGGCTTCTCCTCACCCGCCGAGGGCAGAGAGTCTGTCGTGGCGAGCGTTGGGGTGAGGTTGCCGGCGAGCAGAGGGGGCTCGGTCAGGGCTGACAGATGCTGGGCCAGGACCGGAGGCAGCAGCCCGTCTGCTCTTCGCTGAAGCTGCTCCAGAGACCGGGGCCTCGCGCCTCGGGGATCCCCCGCTGCAGCCGCACGGCCCTCACCAGCGCTCGAACGTTCCATTCGCCCCCCCCGTTCCCACCTTCCCGTGGCTGCCCCCGCTCTTTTTCCTGTCTTTACAGGCTTGCCTCAGCAAAACCTTCCCATGTGTAGGGGTCGGGGGGGGGGCGTTGGGGAGCAGACAGTCCCTCCTGGCTGCACGGGGAGACCCTGGAGAGGAGGAGGGCCTGGGGCGCTGGGGGCACCGATGGCTGCTGAGAGGGCCAGGTGCGTCTGTGACCCCCAGGAGTGGCCTGGGGGGCCTGGGTCCTCACCTCCACCCCTTCTCCAGACCCTGCTCCTGGCGGCCCACGAGGTCGAGCTGCAGCGACAGAAGGAGGCAGAGAAGCTGGAACGGCAGCTGGCCCTGCCCAGCTCAGAGCAGGCTGCCACCCAGGTGAGCCCACACCTGCCGGCCCCGCCCCCTCCCCTCGGCCCCGCCCCACCCGGTTCCTTGGGCACCTCCCCCACTACTTCTTCCCCCTCCACCCCCCCAGGAGTCTGCATTCCAGGAGATGTGCCAGGGGCTGCTAGAGGAGTCCGACGGGGAGGGGGAGCCCGGCCAGGACAAGGGGCCCGAGGCTGGAGGGGAGCAGGCCGAGGGAGCTGAGGCCTCGGTCATGGCCATGCGCCCGGCCGCCGTGGAGAAGAAGACTGAGCAGCAGCGGCGGCGGGAGAAGGCCGCCCGGAAGATGGTGAGCGCCGCAGGGCCCCCCCCCGCCCCCCCAGGCTCACACTCAACAGCCTGCCTGCCTTTCTGTGCTGTGTGCAACCCTCTCAGCTGCTGGTCAGTTGAGGTCCGTGTCCTGGTTCCCTCCAGGCCCCACTTGCGCTCCCGATGCAGCGGGCAATGTGCTAGGTCAAGTCCGTGCGGATACTTGGGGGGGGGGGGGTGATGAAGGTGCTGCTGTGAGGGAGGGGGGCGTCCCCGGGGAGGGAAGGCCCGGCCCCTGGCTGACCGGCCCGGCCCTTTGGCAGCGGGTGCAGCAGGCTGCACTGCGGGCCGCCCGGCTCCGGCACCAGGAGCTCTTCAGGCTGCGTGGGATCAAGGCGCAGGTGGCACAGCGCCTGGCGGAGCTGGCGCGGCGGCGGGAGCGGCGGCGAGCACAGATACTGGCCCAGGCGGACCGGCCTCGCAGGCTGGGGCGGCTCAAGTAAGGCCGGCCGGGCGGGGGCGCTCCTGGGAGGCCATCCTTGCCCCCACGAGCCCCATGTTCTCAAAGGGTTGCAAGACCCAGTGGGGCCTTTGGACGCTGCCCCCGGCCCGGCTCACTCTCCGGGCACCCCTCGCCCGTGCTCTCCAGGTACCAGGACCCCGACATCGACGTGCAGCTCAGCTCAGAGCTCTCGGGCTCTCTGAGGACCCTGAAGGTACCTGCCTGCAGGGGGCATGTGCTGTGGGGGGCCCTGTGCCCAGTGATGATCCCCATCCTTGCTCCCCGTGCCCCCAGGGGCTGTGGGCGACATCACGGCTGCCCCCGGGTCGGGCCGGCTGGGCTGATGCCTGGGGGCTGAGGGCACAGGGTCCTCGGGGTGTGCTGGTTCGAGCTCGTGACCCCCAGAAGGCCTTTCTCCCCCGACCCCTGGTCTCACAGCCCCGCCTTTCCCCTCTTCAGTCCCAGAGAGGTCTTTTCAAAGCCCGGAATGGGCCTTGTCCCCGCCCGGCTCAGAACCTGCCGCAGCGCCCAGGGACCCTGGGCTTCTCCCCGCGGCCGCTGCACGGTGCAACCTGCCTTGGGGCACCGCCCAGCTCTGCGTCAGCACCGAGCCAACTGGGCGCTGTGTCCTGTGTCCCCTGGCCTTCACCCCTGCCTGGCGTGCCCTCTGCTCCTTCCCACTGATCCCCACACCCCCAGCACAGATAGTCTGCGCATCCACACCCACCACCGTCCTCCCCAGGGGCCAGGCCGTGCCCGTAGAGAGGTCATAGGGCCCCCCCTGTTGAGGCTTCCTCTCTGTCCCGCAGCCTGAAGGCAACATCCTCCGCGACCGGTTCAAGAGCTTCCAGAAGAGAAACATGATCGAGCCTCGGGAGAGAGCCAAGTGAGCCCCGGGCCTGGCAGGGGGCAGGGCTGGGAAGCTCCTACACCGGACGGTGGGGGGGTGAAGGGGGCTGGCTGGTCACCGACCTCTCCATTCCCTTGTCAGGTTCAAGCGCAAGTACAAAGTGAAGCTCGTGGAGAGGCGGGCATTCCGCGAGATCCAGTGAGTGGCCCACCCCTCACCCTGCCAGGCAGACGGGCCCATGGCGGTGATGGAGACGCTTCTCACCTGCTCAGACCAGAGGGCAGCCCCCCCAGATGCATTTGAACTCCTAGTCGGGGCAGGGAGAGGCCCCAGAGGGAGGTGGAAGGCCCAGACTAGGGTTGGTGGGGGGGGGGGGGTCGGGCAGGTGAGGCCGTGGGGGCCGCCCTTCGCTCGGCACCCTCAGACCCATCACCAGAGGTCGAGTACATTTTCATGTCACTGGCACTTCTGTGCTGGTTCAGACCTCCTGACCGTCTTTCCCTGTCCCCAGGTTGTAGCCGCCGCAGATGCCGGAGCCCCCGCCCTGCAATAAAGCACCTGTGACCGCCACTCTGGGCCTGTGTGTGACTTGACTCCCTCCTGGAGGCAGTCTCTTTCTCTGTGTCCCATTCCCCCCTCTCCCCCAGCACATAGGGACGCAGGTACCGGAACATTTGCCTGCCTCCGTTTGGGCCTGGTGAGAACCCAGACCTCAGGGCGGGCAGGCAAGGAGGTGGGGCTTGCAGGCTGCATGGGGGCTGGGGGGGGGGCGCGTGAAGTGGGGAAGTGAGGATCACACCCAGGCGTCACGTGCAATAGCCCACGTCTTTCCGTCCCTGTGACTGAGGCAGGCCTTGGGACAGCCCTGCTGCAGGGGTGACGTTTCTGGGCCCCAACTGTGCTCTTCAAGCAGGTGGACTCGCTCACTGGCCCCATTACAACCCAGTTGGGGAGGGGGCTAGTCCTCCCTGTTTTAAAAGGAAGGAAACAAGCAGGTCAGAAGGGCTAATTCCGTCTCCCCAAACCTACTTAAAAAGGAGTTGAGTTTGTTTATTTTGAGAGAGAGAGCACGTGTGAGCAGGGAGGTTGAGGGCGAGAGGGAGAGACAAATCCCAAGCAGACTTCACACTGTCAGCACAGAGCCCGACCTAGGGATCGAACTCACGAACCATGAGATCGTGACCTGAGCCAAGACCAAGAGTTGGACACTTAACTGACTGAGCCACCCGGGTGCCACTGAAAAGGATTTTTTAAAACATTTTTTCTACAAGCAATAGAGGACAGTCTGACTGTAAATCCTAGATACAGTGTGTAAGGATGCCAGAGCACCGTGACTGTTGCCCTTGACCTTTGCTCTCTGTTCAGACCCACATCCTTCTCCCCCTAGGAGCTGTCACTGTGGGTCAGTGTGGTGATTTCGTTAGGTTCCACCTCTGCTTCTCTTAAATTACATACACATGTGCATGAAAACAGACTGGTTTTTAATGTTTATTCATTTTTGAGAGATAGAGTGTGAGCAGGGGAGGGGCAGAGAGAGGGAGACACAGAATCCAAAGCAGGCTCCAGGCTCCGAGCTGTCACCACAGAGCCCGAAGTGGGGCTCAAACTCGGGAACCACGAGATTATGACCTGAGCTGAAGTCAGACGTTCAACGGGCTGAGCCCCCCAGGCGCCCCTGAAAATAGAATTGTTTTAATCTTGCTGTGTTTTGGATACGATCATGCCATGTGTAGTTCTACATTTTGCACTTTAGAGCATCTTGGAGAACTTTCTAGGCCTGTACAGGGTGCTTGTTCATAGCAGAGTGCCAGCATTCGAGTGTGTGGTAACGTCACTACCAGGCTCCCCTGGCCCTGTCTCATGAGGCTGGAAGGCGGGTGACATGTGCCTTCACACATATGTGCGTGTGTGCGTGTCTGGGTGTGGGTGCATGTGTGTAGGATGAGACCCCAGAAGTGACTCTGGGCAACAAGGGAAAAATCTATGCAAACGGTCATGTGATAGGTTCACGCATATAGTTCACGTGGGATGTGCTGACCGGGCGCTCCAGCCACCTAGGGCCCCCTTGCCCGCTGGCACCAGGCCTGCTCTGTGACCTCGCGGCTTTCATTGAACTGCCTGGTTACCAGAGAGCGCAGGTGTGCATACGCTTTGCTGTCACTGGCACTTTCTTCCATGAAAGCTTCTGACCATTTTCCTCCTAGACTGTTCATCATTTTCTTGTTTGCTTGTAGTAGCTCTTTATTTGTTACAGATCCCAAAGTCTGTCATGCCCGTTGCAAACATTTGCTTGGTGCGAGGTGTCATTTGCCGAGGTGTTCAGTGTTCTAGTGTTCTGTCGGCCTTTCCCTCTTGTTTATTGTGGCCTTTGGAAAGGTTTCTCTGGCGCGAGACATTTATAAAAATAGAGCGAGCAGTTTGTAAAAGAAGTGAATGAAGGGAAAGACTAATGGCAGGGCCCCCTCCCCACTTCCTCCCACAGCCCGTAAAACAGTCACTGCTTTAAGGAGCTGTGCCTGCCGTCCCGCCCCCTCTCCCACCCTAGAAATAAAAAGGAACATTTTCCAGACAAGAAAACAAGTCTTTGTGTGTGTGTGAGGTGGGGAGCCAAGGGGAAGGGTTGAGGTGGAAATGAAAACCACTCTTTAAAAAGAGCCCTAAGCCCCTAAGCCACAGCCTCTGACCCAGTAGATCCGTCCTGGGGAATAAGTCTCCAGGAACCTTCTGGAAGAGGGGAGGAAACTAAATGCCCGGAGACGGCCATCAGGGCATCCGCCCAAGCACACGGGCGCCTGGGGGTGGGCTGGTCAGCTCTCCAAGGACGGTCGGCGCAGCCCGCAGGTTCCAGCCCCCCCGGGGGGGGGGGGGGG